GAGAATGGAGTGCCGGAATGGCGAGGTTGTGACGACGGGATTGATGGAGTACTGGGCGAAGCCAGTTGGGTTGGGGCACATGGAATCGTAGGTGAACATGGTGGAGTGGCAGAGCTGGATTGACGTGGATAAGCAAGTGTTGGTGGTGGTGATGAAGGAGGTGCAGGTGGAAATCTTGGATTGGTTGGTGGAAATCTTGGATTTGGCTATGTAGGCATCGAAGCTGATGGATCCATTGATGTAGTCATCATATAAGGTCCCGGCTGGCGCATATTGAACTGAGGTTGGAACTGAGGTCTGGACTGAGGTCGCAACATCTGTTGAGAGTGCCAAATCGCTGATTGCATAGGACCACACCATCGAGGAAAGAACGGAAGATCTTGCCGTACAGGAGGGCGAGAAGGCTCAGGTTCAGCTCGATTTCGACCAGGTGCTGGTGAGCGGGATCGATCAGACTCTGCCATGGTGGCTTGGGCAATTCAAAATTACTGATGGATCAAAAAGGCGGTGGTTGCAACGATTGACAAGATGAAATGAAATGGAACATCACATTTAGGGTGCATGGACCCTTTCAAGCAAAGTTGGTATGTGCATCAAAGCCACGAAGCAAACCTAATGAAAAGAAAAGAAAAGTTCACAAGAGTGAAACACAGGTTAAATGGGCAGGTCAGCAGTTGCAATCAAGCAATTTTGCCAATGCGTTTGTCCAGGAAATCCCTAGAAAAGAAGTCACGATCCTGTTTAGGACAAGAAAACTAAAGATACACGATCTGAGAGTGCTGTCGTAAGTGCTCAACGTTTATGTTTGGCTGCATGCCGTTCCTCGTTGGCTCGATAGTTGACATTGTCCTCAGAATCGGTGTCCCTTAGTTCAATAGGGCGCCGTGCCAGTTTGTCATCATCCTTGAGGTCTGACCATTTGATCGCGATGAACTTCAGCCCCACGTGGTAGCTGTGAGCAATCGTGTACTTCTCCGAAGTGGTGACGATTCCCTTTTTAGCTACATTGAGCTGACATTTCTCGTTTCCTCCACCGCGCAGTGAAAGATGCTCAACTGATCCTCTATAGATCGCCCCAATGGTGATCTCTTGCTGGCCTTTTCCTTTCTTCTCCATAGAATCGAGCAGTTCTTGTTCTGCCCATGATGGGAAGTTCTTGTCAGCATTGGCAATCTGTCGGCCTATGTAGAATGCTCCAAAGGTGGGCATGTGACATCTCTGTGGATTTTTGTGATAAGCCCAGTTTGCTGGTCTGATCTTGCCCTCCATAAGGATCAGCTGTGCGGTACTGAGGGTCGTACCATGGCCAAGTGCCCATGTGACGAGGGTTTGGCCGCCAAAAGGTGGGGGCATTTGAAACCGGCTCATTTCTGGCAGCGGCATGACCAAGGCCAACATGCCTGTTTGTGGAAGTTCTCGAACATAGCATGCGGACAGATCAAAATCTGTCAGGATGCCTGTACTCGACAATAAATGTATGGCCTTTCTGCCAATGTCTGTGGGGATTCTCGGGTCCACGTTGGTCAATTCTTCCATCGCTTCATCAAAGTGCTCTTGGACAATACTCGTGGATGGTTGTGGAAGCTCCTTTGCATCAAGTTCATTTGCCGCTCTCATCCGATCAGGATGGGTGAGAGCATGTCTGACTTGGCGGGCCCATTCCTCTTTGGAACCTTCTTGAAGGTTGATGGCAATATGGCCAGGTGGAAGAGTGGAAGCTCGGGATTGAGCGGAACCAGAGCGATTGGGATGATTGCCCTGGTTGTGGGAGTGCTGTTCCAGCGAGTATGCCGTCAAAGGCTTTGAAGGATACTTGGAAGGCGGTTCATCATAAGATTGATGTTTGTAGTGTGGCTTTGAATAGTCAATCCATCCGGAGGGATGCGTGTAATATTGAGACTTGGACTGGTCTTTCCAAGACTGCCAAGACTTCCACTTTTTGGTGGAGCCGTAGTCAGGGTAGGTGGAGTAGTCATGGTAGTCCGACTTGTCGGAAATTGAAGGTTGTTCGTAGTGATAGTCATGCCAAGATGGAGGTTGCTGTGTAGTGGATGAATAAGTATAATCATCACGAAGCCGATGTTCATCACGTTGATGTGGGTCTTCACGATGACGTGGGGAGTTGGAACGAAGAGTGACTGACTGGGGACGGCGTGGAGACATGGAGTCATCCCGTGAGCGGGAACGTCGACGATGGTAGCGGGAACGGCTACCCCGTCTGTGACGTATTGGACTTCGCGGGATCGAAATGGGACGTTTGTCCACTTGAGTCGGAATGTGTTTTGACCGTGACCTGGAACGGCGATGAAGCCGTGGAAGTGGTGGCAACGGGACAACGGGTGGAGACTCTGCGACTGGAGTCGCTGGTGGAAGTTGTACCACACTTGGATGAGGACTCTTAGACCTTTCTTTGGTCATTTCCATAAACGCCTGCATGCCGGATTCCACTGTGTGGCGCATCTGTTGCATCATCTCTTCTGGGTTGAAAGTGGTGTGTGGCTCTTGTGGAGCGGGTTGAGATGGAGTTGGAACAGGAGGAGTCTGGACTGGTGGCACCGTTGGTGGCTCAGGTGCTGATGGAGGAGTATGATGAGATGCGGTTGTTTGGGAAGTCTGATGGAATGGGAGAAGCTGCTGGAGCTGCTGAATATGGGTCTGAGCTTGGGAATTCAACTGTTGATGTAGTAGTGCGTTTTGGTCCCTTAACTGAGCCAACTGAGCTTGAGTCTGAGCTTGTGACTGAGCTTGAGACTGTTGGTTCATCAGATCACCACCACAAAATTGACCAAATTGTGCAGCAGGTTGAGGTGAAGTAAAGGTAGGCGCTGACCAGCCACAGTTCCACATGTTCTCTGAAAAGTTTGGCCACCGACCAGGAAACATGGCTAAAAGATTTGACAGGTCTGGCAGCACTGTCAGACGATCACTATAGAGTTAAAACAATAACATTGGATGCATCCACAACGCATGCAATATTCGTGATAAGGCTCAAAGGCCCTCGGCTTTCAAGTCACAACCCTCTGGACGGCTTACGTGTTCAACCCCTGAATTAGGTGCACAATTTCAACCTCACCGAGAAACCAAAAAAAGGAAGTGGCCAAACCTGGAAAGCATGTCCTGTAGCCTTCACATGGTAACATGTCATGTGAAAATGTCGAGCTCCGTACTCTCTTGGGCATCATTGAAAAACGGATGTTGTCGCGGCTTCCAGCTATGCAGAACATGGTGAAAATGGAAAAGGCGATGCCCAGTACTGCAGCAAGCAGTTTCAACACTCACTCGACCGACAGAGTGAAACCTGAAAAGTGAACGGCTGTTTCACTTTACTTAGACGAATTACTAATTCAAAAGTGTAAATTCAGACATCGATTTACTGTCAATTGTTAGCCTGGAAAGGCTTTCCCCGAAGGGTTCCTGCCAACTTGACGTATACAGCAGGAATGGCACACTTGCTCAGAAACAACATTGCGAATTTTGTTGTGGAGCGCATCACACGTGCACAAAACAATCCCTTAAAAACTGCCAGGAGAAATTGGTTGATCCAGCGTGAATGTCAGTGCGAAGTAAACTTTCTACGTCCTTGCTCTGAGGAAGGTTCAGATGTAGCTGAACCAGTTGTAAATAACCAAATAAATCCAAATTGCGACAACAGTGCAGTAGACAACCCTCAAGTGGCAAATATCGACGTGCCGGTTCTTGGCTTGGCCGGTTGCCATCAGCGAAAGAAAAAAAAATGAGATTGTCAAAATGATCTTGCAAGCTATGTCCACGACATCCATGCCAAGATCTGCAGGTACAGGTGAATGATCAGTTCACCCTTCCCCCATCATACCATAGCTTCGTTGCGTCAGGTAGGTATGATGGGCCTGACGCCCCTGCAAGTATGATGCAACAGCTAAAGACTACGAAAATCAACCATCATCGAGCCACAGGAAGTTTTACATCTTTTCAGATGTTCCACACACACACATACATACATACATACATACATACATACATACATACATACATACATACATACATACATACATACATACAGACAGACAGACATACATACCATACATACATACATACATACATACATACATACGTACGTACGTACGTACATTCATTACATACATGCATACTTACATACATACTTACACACATACATACATACATACATACATACATACATACATACATACATACATACATACATACACGCATACCATTACATTACATTACGTTACGTTACATTACATTACATACATTACATACATTACATACATAGCATACATAACATACATAACATACATAACATACAAAACATGCATAACATACAAAACATACATAACATACAAAACATACATTACATTACCATACATTACATTACCATGCGGTACATTACCATACATTACATTACCATACATTACATTACCATACGTTGCATTACCATACATTACCTTACCATACATTACATTTCTATACATTACATTTCATTACACTACATTACATACATTACATACATTACATACATACATACATACATAGACACATAGACACATAGATACATACATACATACATTACATTACATTACACTACATTACATTACATTACATTGCATACGTACATACATACATTAATTACATACATGCATACATACATACATTAATTACATACGTACCTACATACATACATACATTAATTACATACGTACATACATACATACATACCATTACATTACATTACATTACATTACATTACATTACATTACTTACATTACATTACATTACATTACATTCAATTACATTACATTCAATTACATTACATTTAATTACATACATACATATATACCAAAAAAAAGTACTTTACATACTTTACAGACAGTATATACATTACACTCATTACACACGTTACACACAACATTACATACATTGCATACATTGTATACATTAATATATTACATACTGAGGAGGACCCCTATAGACGGTGCCAATTTTAAGCCAAATTTGCCGACCTTTTTAGGAGGCCGCTTCCGTAGCAGCCGAAAGCGCAGAGACGCCCCAAAGCAATGGATGTGCTCCACCTCTTTCACATTGCTGCTGGGCATGCCTTGTGTGCAGTGATTGTGCATGAGCAGTATACTTTGTTCAAACCATGGCAATGGCAATGGTTTTGTTGCCCACGTTGCTCCAAGGGTTGTCGTCAACCATATCTCAAACCTCGTCCGGGTGCATGTCTTATTGGAGCTTTGGCTATCCGGCTTCCACATTTGGGGCATGTATTAATTCTTTTCTGTTCAGATTGGCAGGGTTCTGTTGCAAGCACCTCTTTGAACTCAGGGTCCGAAGCCCTGAGCCTAAAAACCTTGCGCCTCTGCAAGGACTAATTCCGTTCTACTCAAATCAGCATGCACTTTTACCCAAATCACCTTATAATTGCGAGTTCGAAAGATTTGGTTGGAAAACCCTGCCTGTGCATGCACTAATACCGTTCCAATCGCAAGACAATCGCACTTTGCACTGGCACGGGCGCTTCCAAGTCCTGACGCGTGTAAATTGATCAAAATGTTTCAGACATCTTTCTATTTCCAAGATTGCGCCCGCATTGGCACTTGGAAGTGTCCCTGCCAATACAAAGTGCGATTTTCTTGCAATTGGAACGGGATTAGTACATGCACAGGGACAGGGTTTTCCAACCGGGGCTTTTGAACTGGCCATTATAGGGTGATTTGGGTTGAATAGAACGGAATTAGTACATGCACTGGCGCAAGGTTTCGACACCCTGGCTGCTTTTTGTGGTTTTGGGGTTTTCTTGTAGCTGGTTTGCCTGTGTCTTTCCTCAACATGTCCGTCTCTGGGCATTGCACGCTTGGACTGCAGAAGTTGAGCCAGCAACCCTTTCCCTTCCTTCCTTGTGATTTCCCGATAATCATGTGGTTGACATTCCCGCTGTGAAAGCAGAGTTACATGGCGTGTTGTCTAAATGCTTTATAAAGTGTGCAATGGAATAGCCATGGGTGTCGGGTGGCAGCCACCAGAACATGGCTTCCCCATGCCCCACCCAATTTCATTGTTGTTCAGCATCGTTTGTGGAGTAGAGCTGTGTGCTGCAGCTGACAACATTGAAATTGGGGGAACGGGCGGATCGAAAGAAAGTAGCTGACCTGGGGAGGTGACTCCAGCAGGTGACGTTGAAGGACCCGATTTTGCATCCATGGTTTGGTTGAAAAAAAAGGTGCCGTCGCTGCAGGGCCTCTGCAGTGAGGTCGGAGACAAGAGATAGACATTATTCTTTTGTTTCAGAAATCACATAGATGAGCTCCATGATTCATGATGGTGAAAATTTTGAGCCGCATTGTGTTGAGGCAGGCGCAGGTATTGAAAAGGAAAAATCGTTTTTGGGCCCGAATGCACGGGCCCAAAATCAGGGCCGCCTGGCGGCCCCAAAAATGGGTCCGCCCTTCTATCTTTACATAGCAAAGGTGCTCAATTTGCGGGTCCAAAAATGGGTCCACCGAGAGAGCCTTCAATGGCAGCGCTTTTTGGATGTGAGACCCGAATCTGTGACTTTAGATGTTGTATTCTTCAAAGGCTTTCATCGCCTAACTGGTCCTATCTTGCTGATTTGCTTCTGTCAGGCAGACAGCGCACCCTGCCCAAGCGGCTTTGCATCAACAACGTGCAATAAAACATGTAATGGCAACTGTACATTATATATATATATACATACCAATCTTTATTTATATACATACTTACATATATACAGTATATATACGTATACTTGTATATAGTTATATACACACATAGATACATTAACTACATGACATTGCATTGCATTGGAGTGGTTTAAACTAGATTGTATTGAATGATATTGCATACACTACGTAACATACATAACAGTATATTGCGTGGCATAACCCATGACATTGGAGTGCATCACACGTTACATTACATGTCTACATCATATCTATACATATACCATATACACAATGACATACATACGTACAGAAATATGTATATGTCAGAACTGGAAGGCCTTGATAGGTACCCCCAAACAATTGACTAGCGTTTGGTCACATCGATCACGTATCATGAATTTGAAGTTCCAACATCATATTTTGAACATGTTCCAACACCATGTTCCCTGGCCTCTGGCTTGGCCACGTTTGCCACATTGGCCGAGGGGACGGCAAAGGCAAGAGACATGATGACCCAAGTTCGCTGCAGTGGCAGGGAGGCGCGGCTTGAGCACGTCATGTTGCATGGTTTGGAAAAAACTGGAAACTTGAGTAACATCGAGTTTGCAATCGAGTTTGAAAGTCTGCTTCAGCAACATGAATCTCTTACATCATAAGAGCTGCTGCGAATCCTCAACGACAACTGGCTACTGACTAGAACTCTCAGTAGCTGTGTGACAGTTGTAACACTGATCCTGCTGACCGTGACTTCTCCTAAAAGGACGGCATTGCCATTGCTCTTCTCGCTCAGGAGCTCTAACCAGCCCATGTCAGAGGCAGCAAGCACTGTCGTTCTCTGACGCCACCTGTCACTGAGCAAACTACAAGGATGTCTCGAACCCATCGACACGTGACGTGTTGCTAAGAGAGAAAATTCAAAATGTTCAGCGCAACAGGGAGGCTGCACCTGTCAAAGACGCACAGAAAAAAATTGACACATCATGAAGTTCCTGGCCTCCGCATAAAACCTTGTCTTTGGGATCGATTCCTACCGCCTTCCTTCAAGCTGTTTTATATTGTTCAATCATCAACAAATTTATCACAGGCCACTTCCCCAATTTGCGCTTCAGGCAACAGTCGCACCATGTCGCACCCCACCATGGCACCATGGGCCTATGTGGATCGTCGACCATCTTCACATCAGGCGGAGGCGTTTGCAGAAGTCCTGCAGCAGGTTGTGCATCGCAAGAGACGTCCCGCTGCCGTCCGGCGGAAGTCCGGACTATTCAACATATTTCAACATATTTGCCCAGATTAAGATGCCAACTTCGTCGCTTCTAGAATATACGTATGTATACATATGTATATTGCATCTGTGTATGTGACATACGAGTGTATAATGCATACATACATACATATATATATGTATAATGTATGTGCCTTATATATATATACAACTAGCTGGTAGAATGGAGTAACCGACCACACCAGTCTCTGTGGTGTAAAGCTTCTCAACTTCACAGTTTTGGCTCTGGGCACCTGAGCGACTTTCAAATATCTCTAAAAGCATACAGAAGCTGTTCGGAATGCTTGCTGACGTCGCACTTGTCAAAAGTATTAAATGTGTGCGTCCTTTGGCCAAGTGTTCATCAAACTGTGGATGCGATACAGCAATAGAAAGCACCCATCGCTCTTCTCCACTGGGAGAGTTGTACCTCTACTGCCAGTGATGGTCTGCCAAAAAAGCACCCTAAAAGCTGCCAACTCTGAAGTTATCATAATGACAACAACCCTGATCTTGCATATAAAGAGGTTGAAAACAACTCCGGGTCTGGGCACGTTGCTTCATGGTCAAAAGAAGCATCGAAGCCCAAGACACGGCCATCTCCACCAAAGGAGCGACGCTCCTCAAACACAGGCAAAGACATGCAAAGACAGGCAAAGACAGGCAAAGAGGATCATGAGATAGGTCTAAGTCCTTTCAAGGACCCTGAGCCATCCGTGGCCTAATGCTCGCATGCCCTCTTACCTCTGTCTGATCATGTGTGTGGCCAACATTGCATTATGAAAAAGAAACACTTGTATCTCTGTCATCTGAAATGTGCCAAGTATTGCCAAGCATCGCCGTTGACCACCAGGGCACTGTGTTCACCTTGTGTGAGGGGAATGAGCAGCGCCACCCGTGCATTGCTTCCATCATTGTGCATGGCAAAATACTTCTCTCCAGCGGGCAAGCCAAAAAGGGCCACCTGAGCCGAAGCATCTCTCTACAAAGAATGAGCTTCCTCACGAGTTTCCTCTATCCAAAGGCATTCCTGCGATGTTCTGGTTCTCTTCTAGTCACCGAGTCTTCTTTCGTGTTACTTTTCGTGGAATTATCAAACAAAGGAGATGAAAGGAGATAACACTAAAGAGGCATGATATTGTACATATTATATATATATATTAATATAGAGAGAGAAGGAATGAAAAGGTACAGTGATTGTCCTGCCTCCTCTTGAAGATATGCCGCTAATGTGGAAGACTTCGAGTGTGGCAAGTGTGGCCTGACATCCATTGAGTGGCGTGCAGGTGATTCTACTGAAACAGTGTACCTTCCCCAAGATAAGATACTCTCCCAATTGTCCGTAAAAGAAAATGTCCAAAATCCGCAGCTTCATTTTTCTACCCACCTGCATATAATTTCTCTGAATATATGTAGAAACAGATCTAAAGCAACTCCAGCGACAAAAATGAACTCCATCTGTTCCATGCCACTCATGCGATTGCGGTAGTCTGCACTTATCGGCCTCAAGACTCGGCAAAGCGTGGGAAGCTGCTCGCAGCGCTCCTAGAGCGATGCCATGAGAGGTCGTGCGTTGTCGTGCGTTGTCCAGCGAATTAGAACCCAAAGATTTTAGGAAATAACGAGAAATTTGAAGTTTTGTGTTAATCGAAACTTAATCGCGTTGGGCATGAGTTCAGCATGAGTTCAGCACTAAGACAGTGAAAGTATGGCGCAAGCTGGAGCTCATGATGTCAGACATGATGTCAGCAAAACCCTGTTTTGCCCTGCTGTGCGCTAATCGGATAGTCCACCCGTTGTCCAACCCATCCAAAATCAGTCCTTTTCCCAGCCATCCACAGCAGACCAAACGTCCCAACACCACCAGCCCTGCCGTCCACTGTACTCCTGAAGATACAGCAAGGCGGATTATACAGAACCGACAACAGACCTACAAACAGAACCTACACAAATGTACGGAAACCAGCAGATCCAAAAAAACATCATATCCCAAGCAACAAGTACATGACTCTTGAACACATTGGGCATCTGGAACCTTTGAAGATTTTAATTTACGGTGATCACAGGCCAAGAAACTTGGTCACGGGTGCCAAAGATTAATAGGCCTGTCTGTGTTTTGAAAAGCTTAGAACCGCGACACTGCCATCATCTGCCATCTGCCGAAACGTTCCTCCTCCAAAGGGGTGAGTTTCCCACCTCGCTGTTGGAAGGTGTTTAGGAACTCCTCTTTGATCGTGGCAAAATGCTGGAGCACAGCCCCCAGCAGCTCAGGATAATCCTTAGATTGGCAATTCCTGTCGAGCAAAGGGATTGTTTCGGATTGATATGACGCAAATTGACCCACTGCCACTGCAAGTGGGAAGTGGTGTCGTCAAGCCTGAAGAAATGATTCCATCATCCATGGAGTTTAACAGCCAGGTGTCCTCCTCTCCAAACCATACTTGCGATTTCAAGGATGGATAGAAAAGCATGGGTGTCTGCTCAAAGCGTTTCCATGCAAATAGATCCTGCCATTGCACCACCACAAGCACTCAAGTGAAAGACTCAGTAAAAGGGTTGTGCATGTCTAAGTGGATAATAAGAGGCATTCATAGTTTGCAAAACCTTGCGTCTCTGGATGCATTGTTTCAGCAACGTTTCCATAAGATAAGACTAACCACCAATAAACCTTTGTGAGCACCTCTTGTTGTTCCCCAAAAACGGACTTTTGTTTCTACTTCCTGTTTGAGACCGCATACGTGGTATCGACTTTGTACAAGACAGTATACATCATTCTCGACTCAGCCACAGATGTGTTCGAAGGTTCCCCGGTCTATTCCTTGAAGTTTTCATAGTTTTTTGCAATGAAACTCCAGCCCAAACCCCTCCACGGCCTTGGTTGCTTGGAAGAGTTTCTGCGCAGTGGGAAGGTCAATTTGTTTGGCCAAATGAAGCAACTCGGACACAATGTGGCGATCATGGCAACCTTGCACACGGCCGTCGTTTTAGGCATTAACATTTACCAGGCAGTCCTGAGACATTAACAAAACAGACTTCAAAAGGTACTCGTTTGGAGTCATAGATTTGTTTTCTGATGACATAGATAGCTGTCACACTTGCCACAGAACTTGCGTTGTTTAGGGAATACCCAGCCGCGTATGAAGAAACAACGTCTAACCAAGCCAGTTCTACTTCCGTAGAAATTTAAACAAATTTGAATGAAGTGGAATTTATACATTTTTACACATATGTTTGTATATATGTTTATTATGTGTATATATATATGTGACATGTGTGTCTGTTCATATATTTATGTATATTTGTAGTTTAAAAAAATGGCAAGTAAAATTCCACAAACGACACATGAATGCAAGGCTGGAAAACTGCTGTCAAGCAAGCACCGCGAACTTAAACAAGAAGGCCTGAAACAGGGGCGGAGTATCACGAACTATAGCAGCGGTAGTGCGGTCTAAAGAAGGTACATTTTGTGAGGAAAAACGGTTCCAAATATTGCCCAACCAAACTGCAATGTGGCAAAATCCCGTAATCATTGATTTGGTCAGAAACTGTCAAAAAAACAAAAAACATGTTGCCAATTTGTTTCGCAGTCCTTCCAGCGATGTCAGATCGTTGCATGTCCGGGTTGGGCACACCTTGGATTACTTGATGTTTTGCCCGTTGACGCACATGCATAGAATCATGCAATTGAAGATTTGCAGGTATGTTCGATCAATGTTCGATCCGTATTTGTGCCAAATTTTTAGTCAGATCCAATGCCAACAAAAACACTGACCCAGCACTCTGATCTCAACATGGATTTGCTCAACATCTGTCCGCGATGAGCAAGGTGTCGCCACTTGAAGACCGCTGCTGCATCCGCTGAATTTACAGCGTTGGGTACTGAATCACTGTTTCGGCCCATGAGCAACCTGTCATGTGCTTGCCGCCGGACAAAAGCAGCAACAAAGGAATGGAAATTTGGTAGCATGAACTTTGATGATATCTGCAAAAAAAAATGCAAACTGAGAAAACTACGAATTTATATCAGTTGAAATAATGCACACATGAAAATGTGATTGGATTGAATGCTTGCCACAAAAAAACGACATATTTCCCTGAATAGGTACTGAGAATGTGGCAGAAAGGTTTCCCACAGAGCTCCACATGACTCTGGGGATGGCGTCGAAGGGCAAACACCTGTCACCAAATTGTTTTCAAATTTTGGGAATAACAAAAAACATCAAAAAACAATGTTTTTCATAAACGTCGAAATACGCATTCTAACGTTTTCACGTTGAAATCTCTTGTTTAAGTGTTCCGTTTGGGTGGAATCATTTTTTTAATGTTTCGAACGTGTCTGTCATGTCTTCGTAATTTCCAACGATGATGGCCTGCCACGATGGCCTCACATTCACGACCACCGCAAAGCTGTCCAGCTGCAACGGTGACACCAATAACATACCGCCACATGGCCCGTCTTCATGTGCTAATGAGTTGTTCATGCATCCGAATTTGTTGGTTTTGAATCAGTTTGCAATTTGATTTGTTTTTTGTTATGGTGTGTCCTTTTCCCTGCATACATCATGCCGCGTACAAACAACCCACACTATACAGACATTTTGAAAAAACGCATTCAACGGGTTTGGTGTCAGTAGCCGTTACAACTTATTGGATTGCATTGTTCATTGGGAAATTGCGCAGTGCATGTCTTCTTTGTTCTCCATTTTGCAATGATGTTTTTTGCGATTTTAATGTTGCATGGACGAACCGACAGGCTACTTTTCCAAACATTTTGGTTCCAATTTATTTGTTGCATCCGTTCAATTTGCAATTGGGTTCCAAGTGGAAAAATAATCCGAAAAACATCCCCAAGAGCCAAAAAAACAACAAATTAACAAATACGCAACAATGCCTCAACAAGTGAAACACATTCAGTGTCCAATGTTTTTTACTCTGGAGGCCGGGGGCGCGAGGCGCAACCACAGCCCACACGCCTTATGAAAGTACCTTCCAATAAGTATTTGAAGCCATGGCAACCAAAGAAAACGTAGTGCTTTTCATGCACGGAACGGCGCCGCATTATTCTGCTAATACCCCGAATAGTTCTACCATGTTCTACCAGCAGTACCGCACAAGGCGGCGGCAGAAGTTTCAGACATAGAAAACCATAGGAGAAGCGAATTGTTGTAACGCATGGGTGGCAGAGCGAATCCACTGATTGAGCGAAACGTGTTCGTCTCTCTCTCTCTCTCACTCCCCCTCTCTGTTTTATCTATCTGTCTGTTTTTCTCTCTTTCTCTTCTCTCTGCCGTCCAATCACGACATTTTTTTAAATCTATCTCTCTATCTCTCTATCTCTCTATCTCTCTATCTCTCTATCTCTCTATCTGTCTATCTCTCTTTCTCTCTCTGTATCTCTCTATTTTTCTCTCACTCAATCTCCCTCTCTCTCTCTCTCTCTCCCTCTCTCTCTCTCTATCTACCTACCTACCTACCTACCTACCTACCTATCTATCTATCTATCTATCTATCTATCTATCTATCTATCTATCTATCTATCTATGTATCTATCCATCTATCTATCTATTTATCTATCTATCCGTTCATCCAGCACTATCTATCTTGCATTCTCTCTACCTATCTGTGTCTCTTTGCATACATCTAGCTGTCTATCTATCTATCTATCTATCGATCGATCGATCGATGGATCTATCGATCTATCGATCTGTCTATTAATCTACTTCTTTACTTATCCATCTATCTACCTAGTGACCTAGTGGTCATCTATCTAAGACCACGCACCTTTCCAGGCGTTTCCCTAAAAGCTGCATTATCGCAATTTTTTATCCCTAGTGTTTGTGACTGCCACCTACCAAGTTTAAACCAAAATCGAACGCTCCAAAAAATTGTTTCTCGCAAAAACAAGAAAGAACCCCATCTCGAAAAACATCCAAACTGCCTCAAACGAAAATACCCGCTCATCTAACATCGGTAAAAACATCATTGAAAACGACGGCTTCACTTGAGGCCGCAGCACTCTTTTTACACCAGAGGCGATGGGGACACAAACTCAAAATGTTCTGTCCAAAGCTGTCCGACCCGATCACCACCAGAAGCCAACGGTCGTATAGACCATTGGAAAGTGTCAGCCAGAACAAAGAAAGATGCCAGCATCCATGTCTTCATTTGATTCCCCCTGATCCTGGCAGCATGAATATCATATTATCGTGTCGCATGAGAAGAGTGCGCATTACAAAACAAAACAGTGTATAAATTTAATTATACTTAATGTGACGCACTTGTTTTTTTTCCGCATTGATTTTTGCGCAATGAAAGGGGCATTCCAAATGAGCACTTCTGCTCATCACATCGTCTGTGTTGAAGCCACTTGAAAGACATCTGACATGTAAATTGCATTCACCGCATATGGAATTTCAGAAAAAGAAATCATTGAAATTGAGTCACCTTTGGTCCTTTGACCGCACATCCCATTGTCACTTCTGACAAACAAAAAATGAGGTTTTCTGGGAGTTTACTCACACCCCCCCACGAACTCGCGGGGTGGGTTGGGCGGGTCGCGAGTTCAAAACTAAACGACTGCACCCACCCTCCCCCCACTTCTTGAGGCGGGCGCGGAAACAAAAAATCACAAACAACCAACAAAGACAACTGAAGCACAACATGACTGAACATGTCCTGGGATTTGTTGGCTTTCAGAGTTTGGATTTTTTGTTAAAAAAAAACTTCAGAGTTTGTTTGTTTGTTTGGGTTTGAGCGTACCAAGCCACGCAGTAAACGACTACTTTTCTTTTTGTGTGCATACAACGTAATGTAGCACAAAAGGACGTGCAATTTTGTTTGACAACCTGCGTTGACAAAACCACAACACTCCTTCACGTTAAAGTAACGCGCACAGAATTTGGATTTTTTTCCAAATTTAATTTCACTAAACGTTACGATAAAGAAGTATCACCTTCGGTGAAATCATCCTTATCGTGTCGCATGAGAAGAGTGCGCATTACAAAACAAAACAGGGTATAAACTTAATTATATTTAATGTGACGCACTTGAATTTTTTTTTCCGCATTGATTATTGTGCAATGAAAGGGGCAGTTCCACATGAGCACTTCTGCTCATCACATCGTCTGTGTTGAAGCCACTTGAAAGACATCTGACATGTAAATTGCATTCACCGCGTATGGAATTTCAGAAAAAGAAATCATTGAAATTGAGTCACCTTTGGTCCTTTGACCGCACATCTCATTTTCACTTCTGACAAACAAAAAATGAGGTTTTCTGGGAGCTTACTCACACCCCCATTTCAAACTTCTGCTTAAGCTTCCGAAAACGATCGATTTCATGAAGGACCGTAGAGTAACAAGGTCGACATTGTTCAGAGTTCCTGTATGCGCCAAACTCAAGTCTCGAGGCATCATCTGAAGGATTACTTGTGGAGGGCACACGATTGTACCAGTTCCGTGCCCGAATCAGTTCCGTGCCCGAATCGAGGTATCCATCTTGGAGTTCAGCTGAAGCACAAAGAAATTGTCCATCACAGGAGAAAAATTTCGTATCAGCGCAGCTCTCGCTGCATCATTGTCCAGAAACCACAAAATGCTGCGCCCAAAAAGGTGATCCTTCCACGTGTCCTTTGACACCAAGACTGGCAAGATCTCTGCCTGGGCAATTACTTGCCTTTTGCCCGAGCTCTTCCAAAGGTTTACAAAGGGCTCTGGAACATGGTCCCCAAAAAACAGGCTTCTCTGTTTCCACGGGTCAATCAGCACGGCTCCATGGGTCACCAAATTTGAATTTTCCTCAACCGCCCCGTCCGTAAACAATAGTAGAGGGGGACAGTCATTCCAAGCTTGTATTGTACGCGGTTTGGAGTCCAAAAGTGTTTCAAGCGCCTCCGCAGTAGCATGCACCAGCTCGGGAGTCACCAAGCATGTAGGACCAGAACCCCCGAATCTGTGAAGAAGCTGACAAGCTAATTGTGTGCACCTGCCATACGTGTGGCCCGCTGCGTACAGCAGTCGCCCCTTTAGGGGCTCGATCTTTGAACGCCCAATATGCACTCCCAAAGATTGTCGGAGCTCCTCCACCTGTTCCTTGAGCCGCAGCAAGCGTGATTCTTTGTTGTAGACCTCTACAACTTTGGACTCCGACTCCGGCAGCTTAATAATTGCTCCAAGTATCTTAAAGGTTTTGGAAAAAGGTTTCCTCTTGTCTTCTCCCATAGAGATCTTCCAACCCAGAAGCGACATCACAGATTCTGCAGTCATCCACGCAGAGTTGCGCAAGAGACCCAGCTCCAACTGACAGAAATCGTCAAAGAAATTTGTGACTACCAGCTTCAAGACCTTGGTCAACATCAATCGCAGTGCCCGTGCAGCACGATTGAATGCTAGCACGCTGCTCACTGACCCAAACGGTAAGGCCACCACCTCGAAAAAATAAATTTGGCCATCCTTCGGGTTTGTCACGGCCAAGACAGAAGCCCAGGAATCGTCAGGATGGCGTACCAGTTGCTTGTACGCCTGTTTCAAGTCAAGGCATCGTCCAAACAAGTCGCCAGAGTGAACACTGCTCCAAGCTGGTGCCATGTCGAAGACTGAGACTCCAGACCCTCCAGGGATAAAGAAACGTCCTTCTCCTCCAGCTCCACCCAAGAAAAACCTCGCCGTCTCACAGATATGGTCAATCCCTTCAAGGTCGATCTTCTCATGGCAAGTAACCGATGAGCTGATGAGGAACTGAGAAAAATCATCCACTGGACGGATTTTCCCTCCTTGTCTCACTCCAAATCTGCGAGACGGGATCCAGTTGGGTCCCAATCTCTCTGGGATTTCTTTTGCAGAGAACGGGCCCAAAACCCAGCCCTTCTCTGGCGAGGCCTGTTCCATGGTCTCCTCCCAGACCGCCTGTGCTACCTCCATGTCCTGGAAGATCATGTTGCACGATGACACAACTGCCTTTTGTGCCCAGACTGCAGTCTGTCTGAGCTGCTCCACCCCAAGGATCGCAGGCTTAAACTGCTGTGTGAATTGTCCTGAAGCATTGATGTCGCCTACCAAGCGAAAACCGCTGCACAGATCCTGAAATAGATACTCATCTTTCACACCAGCATCTTCAAGCATTTCCCGAAAAAGAAGCAGCCGTTTGGACTCCAAAACCAACTGACAGTCTTTGTTCAGAGACTTGTGCAAGGCCATTTCATCACGCTGTAAACTTTTTGCTCTCTTGAGGTTGTGACTCAGTCTTTCAGCCCTGAAGCTGGCTACTTTGGCTGGACCTCTCTCCAAAATAAAACGAATAGATTCCATATTGGCTTCATCCAGTGGAAGAGGTACATCAAAAGGATGTCTGATGCCTCGCACTTTCTGGGTAAACTCTTCAGGAGAAAAATACACCCCATAGACGACATTCAGCTGGCCCTCACACCCGTTTCTTCCATCAACCGGCTTGATGTCGATCCGCTCTGAACCAACTGGGATTCCCTGCCAAGGAGGGGCAACAGATTCAGCGATGAACTCCGGTGGTTGGTCGCTGTACACACAAGAAACTGAGATTTTGGACTTGAACTCAGATAAAAGGAGTGGGCCACGTGTCCTACGAGGTTGAGATTCGGCCAAAATTTTCACTGCGTGATCACAAACGTCATCAACCAAATGAATATCACCTCTGCTGCTGAGTTCTTCCAGAAATGCCGATGCTATTTCACTTGCAAGTCTCACAGGGTACTCGGCTTCTTTGGCCGTATCCAAAGACCACTCGCCAGTCTGTGATGGCTGAATTTTCCACGCTGCATGCTTGTGGTTGCCCATGCATCGCTGGCGAAGTCTGGGGGCACTAAAATTTGCCGGAATTGCGGTTGCTTTCTTGTGCTCTGAACCACATTCACACGCATCAATGACATGGAAATGAAATTTCGAAACAAGTCCTCTGAAAAAAGGTGTTTCCCACATGAGGGAATTTGCAGGATTCTCGATGGTGAACAGGACTGAGAAATCGTTGCACAGCTTTGCAAGTCTTGAAGAAAATTCATAAAGAGCATTTGCAGCTTCAACCTTGACCATATTCAAACCTTTCAACCAAGGAAAACCAAGTGGATGCAAAGAACTGCGGAGCGGCTGTGTATTGTTCCTCGCTTTCGAGGCTGTTCCGCATGGGGGCCCCATATGGACCGAATCAACTCTTCCCAAACGGATCTCCCGTTCTATCAGTTCTTGCACCCAAACTTGTGTCAAGTCAAAGCTTGACTGCCGCTGACTTCAACTTGGTTCGTTTCAAATGATGGTCGATTCCTAAGGCTCTGCCACCTTTGAAACCAGTTCTTGAACTGGCTGTATGTTGGTGTCACAGGTCTCTTCTGGATCACTTCCACTGGTGGAAAAAGAGAATGCACTGCCTTTGCAGAACATGAATTTGGAGCTTGGACAACAGGTTCATCCTGGCTAAACAAGCTCTTCTTTTCCAACTGGTCACTGAGTCAACTTGCTTTGTCATGGTTGATGAAGTTGTGGCTCGAAGAGAAGCAGCCGGGCTTGCAAAAAAAGTGACAACCTCTTGGGCCGAGCTGGATAGTCCAATCGTAGATAGTTGCTTTTTAAAACTGCTTTATGGTGCCTGACGCGTCGGCTTTCCAAACCTTCAGACTGTTCTGTTCTTTCAAGTTCTTGAGCTCCGCACTTCTGCTTGTGCATTTTGACAATTCAATGTATCTCAAGCGTCCATCATCTGTGCACTGTGCCAAGCTGTTGATGAGGGAGTGGCTTGGTTCCAAAACGCTCTCAATCTTCAAGGGGCCCAATTTTTTCTCCAAAGCAGAAAAGCGACAAGCGATCTCTTGGACCGGTAATTTCTTTGGTCCATCTGACTCACTGTCCTCTTCAGCTCATCGCTGCAACAGCGTGTCAAGGATTTTGCAGTCAACGTTAAGCTTGCAAAACTTTGCATTTAAAACCGATCATCTGAAAATGACTTGATCGATACTTTGCCTCAGCATTGTGACAAGACTGGTTTGGATTTGCAACAGGTCGACTTCACGTTGATGTTGCTGAGATCTTTGCCCAGTGATGTGAAGAACTATGTCCTTTTGCATGCTTCAGGCGAAGGTTACACTGATTATCGCACAGCAGCCCTGAAATATGAGCAGCAGCAACGTCTATTTCAGGAGATTGGTGCTCATGGGTCATCAAGACATGCGCATGCCTTGGAGGGAGATGGTAGCTGGGAAGGTTACTGCGACTACTATGAGGAGCAGGATTATCCAGCTGAAGGTGCTGAAGAGGAGTGGGAATGGGATCCAGAGAGTGAGCTGTGGCTCAACACTGCCGCAATCAACAAGAATTCAGGAGTGAAATGTCGAAAGTGTGGCAAAACTGGACACATGCAGAAGGATTGCAACACGAATATGGGTCGTGTGAAAGTGCGGACAGAGCGGGCATATTGGCGCGAATTGCCAGGCCAGCAGTCCGAAGTTCATCCCCGTCTTCAAGCGGGAAGGGTTCAGGAGCAGCCAAGGCCAAGCCTGCAGCGAAAGCTGGACTAGGAAAAGGTGGTCGCAAGGGAAAGATGCATGGAAGAAGAGCAAGAATTTGCAGAAGCGATCATGATGCCGCTCATTTCATCACAGGTTTCAAGTTCAGAGGGAACTTGGTGGTTGTTAGATTCTGGAGCTGCCACATCGGTGCTGTCGCGGAACTATGAGGGCATATATCGTTGCCAGGCTCAGGAGGATTCGGCACGAGCATTGGAAACCTACTATGCAGCGAATGGGGCTCCAGTTCACATGAGGGCCAATGTTTTGGCAAGTTTGTCATTTCAGGTTGTGACTGGGGCATCTGGAAAGAAGAAGACTCAATCATTCAAGTTGGCCTGTTGTATTGGGGATGTGTCACGCAACATTATTTCGACAACTCATTCAGTTGGTCAAGAAGGATTGGAGAGCGCATGCGCTATGCCATTGCGCAGACTGAGAGCGGAGAAGTAGCTCCTGGGCCACACTGGCAACACCTCTATCGATGGCTCATTGCGCAAGCGCATGAGATCCTGACCTTTGATAGTGTGTATCCGATTACAGACAATCGGGACCTCACAAGCGTCGACGCGGCCTCACAGCCAGGGTTGGCACATTGGCCAGCTGTCGCGGCATGGTGGAGCGAGCGCGTCAAATATGTGGGACCATACCAGGAGAAAACAACAGTACTGTTTGTGCCTATTTGTGAAGATACAGGACTGTCACTTGTCCACCCTACCTGGGCGGGCACCTTCATCCTCGATGCCTGCGTATACCTCTTCCCGGCTATCCACTTTGCCCTCATTGACAGCGACTTTGTCCCGGTCACCCTCTTTGAACTGGAGGAGTTGTGGAGGTCTAGCGATTGCCTACCGGAACGTGATGCAGCGATGGAGCCGCCCCATCCACGCCACTCGAGTCCGGTGGCACCAGCACACAAGCGGGCGAGATCAGTCGATACTGGCCGTACAGCCCAGCAACATGGACCTCCGCGCAAGCTCTCCAAGTCTAGAAGTGCAGAAAACTTGGCGTCTCCAACAAAAGCTCGACCAACGGGAAGCCACACGCCTGTTGACTACCGAGCGTCAGATGATGAGAGCTCAGCTGCCACTCTGTGCCTTGAACGTCTTGGCCATGAACTCAGACCTGAAAAATGCAGCTTCCGCTCTTGATCGCAAACTGAACTCCTTTGCAAATTCCTTCTGAATAGACCTGAAGGATCATATGAGCTCGTGGATGCTCTGCAAATGCCTGAGTCAAGATAGCTAGCAATCTGGCACTACGAAGTTGCTGTGCAGGTTTCAGATTCGTCATGTGCAACTCGTGTGGCCATCCCAGCGCACTTTCAAGCTCCCACCCAAACGTGTCACTAGCCAGAGCTACCCAGCTCTTCAGAGACTGAACATAGCTCGCAAAACCCAAAATCTCCTCCTGGCGGGTCTTCCAACTTCCATGCTCACACTTGGGCAACGGAGGAAGCCACTTCTCACTCCTTGTAAAGACATCTCTGTCATCTCGTGACGATGTTTCACCTTGTGTGCTCTGTGCAGTACCTTGCCCCTGCTGAACTTCACTAATCAGTCTCTGAGGCGACTGCTGGAGACCAGGTGGCTGTTCCACAGTATTCCTGAGAAAATTGGGTTGTGGACTGGTGGGTGGACGATCTCCAAATGATGACAAACCACTTGAGATAGATGGTGGTGCCTTAGAAACTGGTACCTGAGCTGGTGTCTGAGCAAACACATTCTGTTGGTGAACTACTTGTTGTTGCAAACCGTTCAACCTCATGTTAAATCACCCATAGCCTGATTCAAACTCAAAGATACTATCTGGGCTATCTGAATCCTCTGCGCAGTGGAGAAAACTTCTTGCTGTCCAGTTGGACTTCCTGGCATACTACCACTGGCAGCTTTCGGCGGCGGGGGTGGTGCATGGGCATGGGCATACGGTTGGGTGTTCAGTTCAAATACTGCTTAAAGGTGACAAAAACCAAGGAGAGGTTTTTGTCCAAACTGCAAACTGGATTCCAGTCTTGACGAAACTCCTAAAAGCGATCCACTGAGGATCAAAAGCTTTCATTCGATTATCAAACTGTTGAAATGTTTCCAAAAACTTCAAATAAAGTTCGGTTTTCTACAAAATCATCACAACTCTTAACTACAAAACGAGACGAGTGCAACCGCAGAGTCGGTTGTGCTCATTGAGTGTCACAATGCTCTATGAGCTTTTTGTTTGCGTTTTTTCTGTTGGCATCGGCTAATGGGACTATGCACTGGTCCTACTTTTCAGTTCAACTTTTGAAGCCAACCTGTGAAGATTTTTTTGTTTTTCCTCTGTTGCGGCCGATCTCGCTCTAAGGCTCGGTCCTGACAGTGAGAGAAGCGGTAAAAAAGTATGCAAAAAATATGAAACTCTTTGGCTTCACAACTGAGGCACATCATGGAAACACAAACAAAAAACGAGAACAAACAAAAAACGGCAACAACGACGACCCGCAAATCTCCCGGTCAGATTTGCGTTTCGCCAGCAGAAAAACAGCGAAACAACACAAAACGGGGCCGGAGCCACACCAAACAAAAACCACACAAATCCATGGGGATTGCCTCCAGACACGATAGGGTCAAGCCCACCGTGTCTCCGAAATATGCACAAACGAATTAAGAGTCTGTGGCCCCAACAAATTAAAAGGGGGTGAGAAGCTAAGCAACTGTAAGAATCAACAACACGGTTGCGAAAAGCTAATGTACACTACGGGAGTCATCTCAGAGTCCTCTCAGGCGTGCTTTGTCTATCCTCGAAAAAGTTGACCAGCTTCAAAGGTTCTGGTAATTGCCACAAAGCATGGGTGTACAGTCCGTGAGTGATTACAGGAATCCAATGGCGCGTCTTGCTTTGCCATCAGTTCCTGGTAGCACATACAGCCAAGACAGGACGGCACCGCGGGCCCACAGACAAGAAAAGGCCAGCAGGGCCAGACTGCCAGCATATATCTGAGCGACTTGTCGAAGAAGTCGTCCAGGAGAAATGTCGTCAAATTCGTTGGTGAAGGGTCACTCAGTAAAACATGCAAGTGCATGTAGTAGGGGGCTCATCTGAAATATAGGACATCCGTGACATCGCGTCCACTCACCCTGAGAGTGGGGCAGAAGTCTGCTAATGCCATCTCCAGAACGAGCATGATGAGGGCAGCAACCCAATTAGGGACAAACAGGCAGTCAAAGGAATTCAGGATTTTTTTGTGGTCGGCGCCCGTTGCCTTTTCGGCGGGTCGCACTTGAGACTCCCGAGTGGACCAGCAGGGATTCG